TTCATTTCTGCTCTAACGCTTCACTTCCCCCACGATATTACCACGTGTATGGCCACGATGCACTGTCCCCTCCCCTTCCCCTGTCCTTTCCATTTCAAATCATCACATGGCCCCACCCTACCCCCTCTCTTTTTGAGCCCCGCGCCGTCCTGGTATTCCATGGATCCACATTAATTTTCGCCCGTTTCAAAACCTTTCAAATCAACCGCCAAAACCGCCTTTTCAAAACCCCCCTCGTGACCTATCGTTTCATTTCTGCTCCAACGCTTCACTTCCCCCACGATATTGCCACGTGTGTGGACGCGATGCACTATCCCCTCCCCTTACCCTGTCCTTTCCATTTCACATCATCACATGGCACCACCCCACCCCCCCTCTCTTCTTGAGCCCCGCGCCGTCCCGGTCGGCACGGCTAACGGTCGACCCCTCCCGCTCAGCCACCCTCGCGGTCGGCACGCCTCTCGGTCGACTTCTCCCGCTCATTCACCCTTGCGATCGGCACGGCTTCCAGTCGACCTCTCCACTCGGTTCAAACTTCCCTTCCTTATTACTATTTCCTTCGTTGGACTAAAGCTGCACTCGGAAATGAGGAACTACTGACATGGATAGGCCCACGAGGCATACGGCCCACAGCAAACCACCCCGAACCCGTCGCTTAGGACCAATAGCATAACCCGGTTGGCAAAGCCCAGGACAGCTGGAGGCCACCTAGACATGGGGGACCAATGGCATTCGGGCACATGGCAGGTGGAACACGGGCCACATCAGCAGACAAAGATCTGCAGAGTTATTACCACAACACATCACCATTAATGCATCCCATCACAGCATTTATTACGACAACACCTCCCCGTCGGAACAGAGCCCCCTCGCCCTGAACAAGGTAAGCTACGGCACAGGCTTTCGGCGAAAGGGGGCACATCACGAGGGACATTGAAATGATTACCAAAGGATATAAACAAGAATAGGAAGACAAGAAAAATGTTAAGCTTTTTATCTCTCCATCTCTCTCTCTCTACATTTTCCTTCTTCCTCTACTAATTCTCACGCCGGAAGGTTCACTGGGGGACTGCCCCGTTTCCCTTTGGACTTGCATGAAGGTCATTTGACGGAATCATTACCCTAAACCGGAACTTGAAGAGCCTGGACCAGCCCGAGCCATCTACCCGGGACGGACCGCATCATCAAAATCAAAATTTTTTTCCAAATTAAACTTTTTAATCCCAGACTAAATAATTAAAAAAAATTAAAAAGTCAAAAAAACTAATCTACTTTTCAAACTAACAATGAAAATAATAGGCATCGGGCATGATGATCGTAGGGGCAGAGAAGTCTAGATAAAGTTAATTTCTATGAAACAATCAAAATAGCATTTCTCCATTTAGAATGCATGCATGGAATGGTTTGCAAAATCTATCGAGAACAATAAATTATTATAAATTATTATTATATTATTAATTTTTATGGGGGGGGGGGGGGCGCGGACACCTCAACTTCAGTTGATGTTGATCAAGTATATATGGAAAATTACCTAAATAGAGAGGTGGGTACGGGTCAGTTATTGTTAACGGGTGTAATTTTTAATCTGTCATTTGTCTCGTTAGATTGGTGGAGTTGGAGAGAAAATCAATCCCACATCCGTCGGCCAATGTCGGCGGATAATTGGATGAGTGATTTGGCGGTTTTGGCGGATGGATGCGAATTGGTTTGGCGGTTTCAAATTTTGCAAAATAAATTTTCAACCTAATTCAATTGATGCACTTTTTCAAAAAAAAAAAAAAAAAGAAAGAGAAAGTATTACAGTCAAATGACCTTTAAAAATATTGCACTCACTGCATGCTTCTCTAAAGTGAAGAAAGTATTAACATTTAGAATATCACAATCCTGCATGACAATTATCCACCATACTACATCGCAGCATGTCTCAGTCGCACACATAAAGTAATTGCACCATCTATGTGGTTCTTTAAATATACAAAACAATTCAAAGCCACCAAAACATGAACGAAACAATAGTAGAGATTGTATGTCTCTGTTTGTTACATCTATATTTGTTTTTGAAATAAAAAATGCAACCAGCATATATCATACTTTACTCTATTTATATTTTTAGAGATAGATTTAAAAACCAAAAATGATAATAGATAAAATATACGTTTATTTTTTCAATTCAAAAAAATAATTAGGTTAAAAACTTTTTTTTAAATAATAATTTAATGTTTTTTTAATTGAAAACCAAAGATAGAATTTTACACAACTGAAATACAAATTCTTATAAATTATAGGGAGTGCTCGCGGTTTGGTGCAGTTCCGGTTGCGGCCAAAGAGATCTCAAATCCGCCATCTCGTCACGTCAGTTGGCAGATTGGAGAAATCAAATCTCCGAACCGTCAGTTCGTCGGTCATCACGCATCCCGTCCCAAATTGCGAGCGGTGGGTTCGGTTCGGCGGTTTTGGCGGATCGGATATATCCGTTGCTCACACCCTACTAAACAGTTGTAATTTGAAAAAATAAAGGTGTCGTTTGGTAAACTTTACCGTTTTTAATTTTCTGTTTATATTTATAAAAATTAAAAAATTTCAAATAAGAACTTGTTTGGTAAATTTTTTGATTTATAAATCAGGTGGTCTAGTTTACTAAAAGTTTTAGTGTCAAAAATTAGTAAACTCAAAAATGTGTATTCCAGTTTTCAGTTTTTATTTTTATCACCAACATTAGCCGACCACCGCCACTATCCATTTTCCACCACTGCCTTCGCCACCAACCATCACACTCGCCACCACCACTGCCACCACACTCAGCCACGCACCACCTACCACACACCGACCCGCCGCACCACCACACCACTCGCGCCCACCACCACCTCACACTCACCTACCATCCACCAGCACCACCCACCACTCCGCCACTACCATCACCGCCCGCTCGCTCACACCCACCTGCCACTACTTGCACATCACTCACACCTTACTGTACCACATCCCCCAGCCACCCCACTACCACCTCACTACCACAGCCACCTGCCGACCAGCAGCCGCCACGTCGCCACACCAG